CATCTCCAAACAATACCATATATGGGCTTATATGTAAGCCATATCTCCAAACAATACCATATATGGGCTTATATGTAAGCCATATCTCCAAACAATACCATATATGGGTTTATATGTAGGCCATATATCCAAACAATACCATATATGGGTTTATATGTAGGCCATATCTCCATATAATACCATATATGGGTTTATATGTAGGCCATATATCCAAACAATACCATATATGGGTTTATATGTAGGCCATATCTCCAAACAATACTATATATGGATTTATATGTTGAAAACATCTCCAAACAAAACCATATATGATGGAAGGGTATATTCACTGTTTGATATCAACATCAGGATTTTTTTTCATTATTATTAAAACCTGACATACATTTCAACATGAGAAAATATTTTTGAATGTCCACCCGGCTGCGACCAATATCGAAAAGATGAGAGTTTCGTAGCCACCCCAGTTGTGCTTGAAACACAGTTTTGTAAAAATAGGGTGGGCACTGCAATGTTTAATCTGCCTTCTATCATAACTAATACGCACTGTTCGCATAGTATTTATCTTAGTAAAAGCTATTCAAATAAGCTCAATAAACCCAAACATCCAATATGCATGGGTTTTTAGGTGCCATGGCATGCTGCTACAAACTATACACACACAAAGCCATATATGGGTACACAGGCCGCCGTATATGCATACAGCACCATATATAGTTATGTATGTACCGTGATATTTGCATATATGGATGTATAAACACCATCACGTGAAACGCAATGCCATATATGGGCTTTTAAGACATATAACACAAGGATCTTCATGATTGTAAATATGCCGTCATCTATACACATTACATTATTCTATGTAAACATGACAGTGTAGAGAAGATCGATGGTTACTTACTTTGAAAGCGTTCAGATATTCTTTGACTTTACCTTGTCAATCACAGATGCTGATGTGGCACAGTAGTGGCTCTGCATATTGAACAAAAACCTAATTTAATTTTTGAAGTTAGACTAAATAATATGCGTATATTTATATGCAATTATATACTTGTAAATTCACCATGGGGCTGACACGTGTTCTCATTTGTATGATTGACAGGTGGCAGGGGTCGGGACAGACTGCAAGCGGAAATCACGTATGTCTATACATTTCACGCGAGATTCAGTTTACATATCTATATCATTTTCTCAACATGTACTTGCATTTCCATTTAATTTAAAATAAACCAATCGGATACAAAGAGACGAAGCGTACTTGTATCCACCCGTAATCATTGATCAACGGACGACCCGGGGCGCTTGTTCTTGCCTCTCTAGATTACACAATCATCGTGACAGTATTCAATTCACACAGCGACGAGTCGGTTTGCAACTTTAATATGGACCATGGCAATTTGTATTCCCCGCATTGAATTCATAGTTAAACAAACAACTAGCCTGTATAATGAGAATTTCGATCAATCCATTCAAATGCGCAGTTTCCTCCATGATTTTCCCAATTTTCGTCCCTTATGGCGGTTAAAGCAAGGTGTAATGTACATCTATTAGTCTTCTTTATGAACTTATATGTAACATATTTATGCCGGGGTGTGTCACAAAACGCATTCTATTAGGCGAAAACATACAAAATCTGTTGCAAAAATGAATAATTAACATTTTTACTAAATATCAGCTAAACAGTTAATCCGGATTACTCGATTTGGGTCTTGATTATCTTACGCGACGAGGTAGGTTCGGCTGCACGGTTTACGTGTACGTGTACGCGCAGAATCCGCGTTCACGGTGACGTTGACGTAGGCGTTCGTGGCAACGCGTAAATGTCGCCGTTACGTGTAAATCGCGCAGTTTAACATTTATTACAGGCACCAATCATTGCTTATTTAGGGACGACGTCAAAAGATCGATGTCGGATAACAAACTTAATTCCTTTAGTTTTTTTTCCAAACCCCCCTACCCCCCACTGAAACTTAATTGATAAATATTGGTCATGGCGTCAGACTACATTCATCATTAAATACAAATTGATAATCGGA